AATTCATGAAAATTTCAAGCCTTACAAAACTTTTAAATCCATTAAAAAAAATTAGTTTTAATAATTTGGGCCTATCATCTAATCTATAACATTAGAAACTCAAAAATTAAAAAATTTTAAAAAATAAATAAAAAGTACTCAACTCATACTCTCTCTTAAAAAAATAAAAACAAAAGCAGTAATTTTTTTCATTTTTTTAGTAAGTCGAGATGAAATTAAACTCTTTGCTCCTATAAAAACAAATGTAAAAGTTGAAACCTCTCTCTTGGCAACACTGGCAAAGGTTCTCTCCCTTTCATTCTCTCTCTACTTTAACTCATTCTCCTCTCTTGTATAAAAAAATAAAAAAAAATTTATTCTTTTTATAAAATTAATATTAAAAATAAATAGACTTCATTTAATATTATGTCNCAGTAATTTTTTTCATTTTTTTAGTAAGTCGAGATGAAATTAAACTCTCTGCTCCTATAAAAACAAATGTAAAAGTTGAAACCTCTCTCTTGGCAACACTGGCAAAGGTTCTCTCACTTTCATTCTCTCTCTACTTTAAATCATTCTCCTCTCTTGTATAAAAAAATAAAAAAAAAATTATTCTTTTTATAAAATTAATATTAAAAATAAATAGACTTCATTTAATATTATGTCTCAAATAACCTTGAGCTGCCCAGACCTTTGAACCGTTGTAGGGAAGAAAGTGGAATTTGAATTTGCTGTATTGTAGATTGAATAGTGTCTCAATCTCAATCTTTCACAAGTGATGATGTTGTCCCATTAGCTGTGCATTTGTTTGGTTTCGTGATTTTTCTGCATATATTGCCCAATGATTGTCTCGAAGCTGTCAGTCAGAAAATCGTACAAGCCATTATAGATCTAGAAGTTAGAACCCATGGTGTACCTGAGACTTATTACCAGCTTAAACAAATTTTAAGGCTGTGAAAATAATAATAATTGGTCAGATTAAGTTCATCTTATAAAAATTAATCAAATTCTGTTCATTTTATACAATTTAAATGAAGCAAATATCCATACCCACTGTTTAATGTAGTGATAAATTTGACTAGGGGCCTTACTTATCCTGTTGAGTTACCTTTATTTGCATGGACAGGGAATGCTCTTTGACAAACAGTTGGGTGCTCATTGCTATGTTTTCTGCATGTGCAGTGCAGACCTCCTGGTCGAGCCTGGTATGTGCTATGTATGTATCCTCGGTTCTTTTTTACTTTAGAAAGAAAGCATACATCTTTACTTTGGAAAATATATGAAAATGTTGTGGGCACAGATTGATGTTCAACGCATATCTCGCAGAATATTCCTGTTGGTCCAACTTTATTGCTTCTCAATTTGTCATGAATGGCCGACATATCTCCAGGTTTCACTCCCTTTTTTGCGCCAAATTATTCCATTCATTCTTTTAGTAGTTGATGTTTCAAATGAAATGTAAGTCTTGATTTAATTGGTATATGAGTTGAAAGGTTGATTCATGCATTTAAAATTTACTCTTGGCTTTATTCGGCCTCACGGGCATGAGCGATATAAGTGCGCTCTTACTAGCTGGGGAATAGACTAGAAATTCTTTCCGTTGTCTAAATATATATATATATATATATTTNCAAAATTTATTCTCGGCTTTATTCGGCCTCACGAGCATGAGCGATATAAGTGCGCTCTTACTAGCTGGGGAATAGACTAGAAATTTTTTCCGTTATCTATATATATATATATATATATATATATTTCAGTTTTGGTAAGATAGTTTTTGAGTTTGTATGAAGTGGTTTGTCAATTTTAACTCTAGTTATTTAATGAATTATATAAGATGCTTTGACATTAATTTTTGATTTGTGGATGCTAAAATTTAAAACTAGCAAGACCTTGTTTGATTTGCGTGTCAAAAAATAATATCTAAAAATTATTTTTTGGGAAGAGTTTTAGAAAATTATTTTTTAATATTTTTTGTGTTACAAAACTTGTTTGGTTAGTGGTGGTGGTGTGGCGGTGGTGCGGTGTGATGAACGTGGTGTTGGTAGAAGTGTGGTGGTGGAAGGTTGGTGGGGGGAATGTGGTGGTGATGGTGGTGGTGTTTTTTAAATTCTAGAAAAGTGGTTTTTAAAAATACACAAAATAATTCTAACTTGTTTTCTAAAGGCCTGTTTGGTAACGTTTATATTTTTCGTTTTTCGTTTTTATTTTTGATATTTAGAGAAAATAAGAAAAAAAAACTCGTTTGATAACCGTTTTTTTTTCTGTCATCGTTTTGTAAACGTTGAACGATTTTTAAAAACAAGAAAAAGACGTTTTTAGTTTTTTGATTATGTTTTTTGTTTTTTAAAAAATTAAAAATCGTAAACGTTACCAAATGAGCCCTAAATTTATCTAATTTTTAAAAATCAAAAATCAAAAACAATTGAACAAATAAATTTTCTTTCAGAAATTATTTTAAATAATAGAAAATAATTTTTGAGATGTAAATTAAACAAAAGTGATTTAGGTGATGTTGAGGTGACTCCTCCTAGGGGAGACTATGTTGTTTGGGATCTACTATTCTCAAATGATATTATTTTGCAAATGTCAGGGTATAGTCGCATTATGTCATGAAAATTTGAAGAGTATAAATTTAATTTATTATCAAACGAATAAATTTTTTTATTTGTTTCTTTGGATAAATTTATAAATTATGTATAATCGAAATATAAACAAGTCATGTTGAATATTTTTGTTAATTGATTTCACTTATATTCGATTTTTTTATTAATCAATTGTGTCATGTCAGATATATTCATTTATAAAAAGCGAGTAGTTTAAAGAAAATTTAAAATTTGTTAATTCTATATTATATTAACAAATAAAGTCATATTTTAACACTTTTATTAATAGCCTGTTTGATTTAAGTGAAAGTAGGATGAAAAATATAATTTTTCTTTGTTTGCTTAGGAAAGAAAGGAAAGATGGAGGTAAAAACAATTCATTTTGTCTATCATTTTTGATCCCTCCTAAATGGAGGAAAATGGCAGCAATGTTTGAAAAGTTGGTCAAGATGGATCCCATAACTTTTATGTAATGGTTCATGACCATTTACTCTAAAAAGCTAATTTCTTATTAATATTCTATTTAGGGTTGTTTTGATATTTCACTAGTAATAATATTTTATTAACTGTCGGTAACAGTTTAACCCCTTTTTGCGTAAAACACTTGGATGCAGATGTAGTGCAAGCGCCGCCGACAGATACATTGTGATTGGGTTCTCCTGACGTAATTGATTACATAATATCCTTGTCTGGTTCCAACGAACCTGTTCCTTGAAATCGAAAGCAAATTCGTGGAAGTCAATGGCAGCCGCCGGATCCATCCCAATCCCAAGATCGAACAAATTGTTTTTTCATGCCATTTTTTATTACTGAAAACATATTGTATATGTAAATAAATTTGTTTTTTGTTACTGAAAACAAATCTTATCATTATTTTTTTTAAAGTGTTTAAATTTATGCTAACTATTTTTTTAAAATTGTCACTATAATTTAAACTGAATTAAATTATATTAATATTTTAAATCTAAATAACATCCCTAAAATAGGACCAACGGATAAACACCAATCAACGACAAAGTTAACGGAGTGATAAGAAACGTTGGACGTCGTGGTCCACTTTTTACTTTTCAAAGTCAACCCTTATTTTTTCAGAAGTATACGACGACGTTTCACTCGCCTACTTTGCAGTACGCGTGTGTGAGTGTGATCCGTCTCCGTCCTCTCTGCATTGAAAGGACGGCCAGAGCCGCTCCACGACACACGTTAACACTTGGGCACTGTGTGTGTGCGCGCGCCACCTGCCGTGTAAGGGGGTCCCTTTTCACATGTGACAAAATGCTACCACGAGTCAACCTAAAACATAAGGTTTGTAGACTTTCATTGCAAATTTTTATTTTTTTTACCATAATATTTTATATTTAAAATGGTAACAAACATATTGAACTTGTTCAAAAAAAAAAAAACATATTGAACAATTTTATTGCAAGATCATGAATATTATCTACAAAATCATCTACATCTTGTCTTTAATGTAATATTAATGAGTTTCGCCACATCTCCGTAGGTCATTATAAACGAATGAGATAAGGAGAGAGAAATAGATGGGAGTATGAGTTTTTTTTTTGGGTATGGAAGGGAGTAAGAGTTTGATAAGTATTCTTTTACACTTTTATGATTTTTGAGACTTTTAAATTATTAAATTCTCAACTTGTTAATCATATTTTATCAAATGTCTCCAATAACTACATATGTAATAATCCATAAACTTTTTATCGTCGTCACTTATTTAAATCTTTATAAAAAACATCAAATTTTATAAGGTCAATCTTAGTATTCTAAAAGATGCGATAATTTTTAATTTATAGTCCGAAAGAATTGTATTCTCAAACTACACCTGTATTATAATAAAATAAATGTAATGTAGCTCAATTCGATGATGAAATTTAAGATTTGAGTGTATAATTTGAGCTTGAAATAGGGGCAGCATTACACCTGTTTTATAATATATAGGGTGCAACTTGAGAATTCAATTTTTTAAGGGTCTAAATTGAGAATTAAAACAACTTTAAAAGTACAAAGTGTGAATCCAATTCCATAAAACTTAAGGCCGGAACATTTGCAAAACATAACATGCCTTTGGACAAAAAAATATGGCTATAAGGTACCGGCACCGAATATTGGAATAATCCGTATTAGATCTATTCCCACGTTTCGATCTAAAAAAAGAAAAAAAGAAAAAAGTAATGTTACGCTGATCAAATTTTTGTATTAAGTTAAGAATTCAAATGACATGACAGTTGACTTGAATTTTTTTATTTGTTGTCATATTATTTGAGCCCTAATAAAGACTCTAAATAATATATTGTCATATTATTTGTACTTTTAATTTGATCTGAGTGTAACATTGCTGAAAAGAAAAAGGGCCTATAAGAGTGTTTGGACGCTATAAAATGTTTGATAACAAGGCTTCCATAAGAACTTAAGAAGAAAAAGTTAAGGCCGGAACATTGGTAAAACATAACATACCTTTGTCTTTTCTTATTCGTTCAATTTCAATGAAACTTCTGGTTACAACCCTATCAATATCTTTCCCTCTGTATAGCTCCTCAGCTCCGCGTCTCCTCACTTCTCTCTTTTCCATGTCCGCGATTTTTCTCGGATCATCAATCGTACCCATACAAATTCTCTCTCATCGCTACCCACGAAAACTCTCCACCGCCATGGCCGCTTGTATTCACACTTCCAGAACAGACAACGCAACCCAAATCGACGATCTTGTCTACGATTGCGGTAAATTTCGTAGACTCAATTTCGGTGATCTCGTTTCTTGCGTACCCATTTCCCAGAATCACACAAAAACTGTCCACAGACCTACGGTTTTGGACGATATCAACGGAGATGGAGATGAAGATGATCTATGGCTGAGAATGAAAGGTGAAGCTCAATCGGACGTTGAACAAGAGCCCATTTTGTCAAACTACTATTCTAATTCAGTCTTGTCACATGATTCTCTAGAAAGTGCTTTGGCCAATCATCTTTCTTTGAAGTTGAGCAATTCAAGCCTTCCAAGTAACACTCTTTATGACCTTTTCAAAAGTTTACTCAGAGAGGATCAAGATATCATCAGAGCTGTTCAAGATGATTTGAGGGCTGTCAAAGAGAGAGACCCTGCTTGTATTAGTTATGTCCACTGTTTCCTGAATTTTAAAGGGTTCCTCGCATGCCAAGCCCATAGGGTTTCACATAAGCTATGGTCACAGGGTAGGAAAATTCTGGCATTACTGATACAGAACAGGGTTTCTGAGGTCTTTGCAGTAGATATCCATCCCGGAGCAAAGATCGGACGGGGGATATTGCTTGATCATGCTACCGGGGTTGTCATCGGAGAGACGGCAGTGATCGGAAATGATGTTTCAATTTTGCACAATGTGACATTGGGTGGCACTGGTAAGGTCTCTGGGGATAGGCACCCAAAAATTGGTGATGGAGTGTTGATAGGGGCAGGTACATGTGTTTTGGGCAATGTTAGAATTAAAGATGGTGCTAAGATTGGTGCTGGGTCAGTAGTGTTAAAGGAAGTGCCTGCTAGAACAACTGCTGTTGGGAACCCTGCTAGATTAATTGGAGGGAAAGAAAACCCCATTAAACTTGATAAGGTTCCTAGTTTGACCATGGACCACACCTCACATATATCTGACTGGTCTGATTATGTTATTTAGAGGAGAATTCACAATTTTGTCCTCCTTGGTGTTCCTTAGATTATGGAACTTTGGGAGATCAAGGTTTGTGTTTTAATTGAGGAACTGAAGTTCTCCCATTAGCAAACAAAACTCCATTTGAGCCTGATAATGTGTGCTAATGATGTTTTTTTTTTGGGGGGTGGATTTGTACGTGCTTAGAAAACCATCTCTGGTCTTGGGGTTTTGTGTTTTTAGCTTTTTAATATGATTATGTTAGTTGTAACAAGTTGCCAAGACCACCATGTAGTCATGTATTGAATTTTATGATGTAAAACATGCTTTCTCTTTGTGAGACGTGATCCTCTTGTCATTCTCTCTATTGTCTGCATAAAGTGTTTTGTTGTCTATGGACGTTTTATGATTATAAGTTGAAAATTGAAAGTGTGAAAGCAATCTGCCTCTATCCTCCTTTTGGTTGGTCGGTTTGCAATTAGTGTCCTTTGGATGGGAAGGTATGTTTGATTGAGAGTCTAATAATGTGGCTTAAGGCTTTGGGCGCAGAAATTACTCGGTCTAGAAATGGGAATTTTATTTTATTTCTGCAGTTGGTTGTATGCACTTGAGAGGAAAAGGTTTGATCTCATTAGAAGCTGTAATGAGTAAAACCAGTTAAAGAAACCATAACTTCTGGTGAAAACTTGAGGACCCTATTGAAAACTCTCTCCCAACTGTTTCTTGGATGTTCTAGTAGAAGACCCTGTATATAACTATAAATACTGTTCTTCTAGATCTATGAAAATTTTCTAGCTCTTCATGTCAAGTACATTGCCAATATTTTAATTATGAGTCTTCTTAGGTTGATCAAAGGAAGAAATTTAACTGGAGGACAGAGATCCCGACACTGAAACCTCAGCTATCTCTCTACCTTCCTTGGCCAGTGATTTGAATGCTTCTTTGATGAGATTAGAGACCTCTTCTTCCCTGATTGATAGGAACGATAGGGCACGTGCATGCACAGGCTCAAATACGCAATTTTTACATTGATGTCTCCTATAGTTTCCATAATCCACATGGTGCATAAGATGCAAAGGGAATGTCTGTACATAAGATATGGTACCCGCAGCAAGAAGATATCAGGATTTTAGTCTCTGCCGAAGAAGGTTACAAAGAATTTGTGATATTTAAGTGGTTACATTCAGTAAATCACACTTTTTGTGTTTCGGGTATTGTGGCCTAAGATTCATCATGTGATTGTCAGTTAAAAGGATTGGAAGGGAAATTTAGCTAAAAGAAGAACACCCGAGACTCTCATCATTATTGAGTTTAGAAGGATTAGATATACGTAGACTTGCGGGAGCAAACAGTGTACATGGAAACGGAAGCAGCGCTAAACAGATAATTGGCTATATGGCAAAATTGCTTGTGCATATTTATGATTGAGGAGGATCCTTAGAGTTCCTTTGACAGTAAAATACATGAAGTCAGTTATCTTCACTAGTACTTTACTTCTCTGTTGGGATCAGCCATACGCATAAGTTTTGGAGAGTTCCAAAACTTATGCGTATGGCTGATCCCAATTTTGAAACCTTGTACACTGAAAACTTGAGCATACTTTGAGTTCCAACATGCTCATGAATTAGTAATTCCACTACATTGTGCCGAACAAGTGAGATCCTCTTCCGTTCCATTATTGTTTTTTTTTCCTTTTGGAAGATAAAAAAATTTACTGCTCTGAAAACCATAGATATTAGATTAAAGCTCAAAACATCCAAAAGAGCACACAGAGTATGCTCACCAAGGGAAAGTGCTCAAAGCAAAACGGACAACTTCTGCAATCAAAGAGAGTAGGTTTACAAAAGGATATAGAAAATTTAAAGAAAGAAGAGATGGATCACACAATGGCTCCATTTTTCCAATCAAGACCATTTAAACTATTGACCATTGAGCACCTTGGGCCAAGGATAGCACAACGAATCATGCTCACATCACATGACGATTCCGAATCCCAAGTAGATAAAGGAAATCTCAGCAGATGCAGCACAATAATAGATGAGAAAGGGCCAGCAGATTTGTCAGGTTGCAACACCAGTTGCACATGGGCGCGGTTGTTGCACGCTTCTTCAAGCTTTGTCGAGTCACTGCATATCCGGCCAAATCCATGGCCATTTCGTCGGGTACTTCTTGAACCAAAACCCCCCACACAACCCTATCAATCTATTTTTGGACCATCATCTGGCTCCATTACTATAGGTCATTCACCTTGGTCTTCATCCGCTTTCAATACATTAGTAAGCCCCGCTAGCAGCATGACCCTGACTATTTCAAGCAACTTACTCAATCACATATCTATCTGCCTAATAAACTATAGCTACTAACAGTGAACACCAACAAAGTTTCCATTGTTTTCTCTCCTGAAGCTCCATACAAATGAAGTCAACGGAGGACCCGAACCACCACAAAGACTATTCCCACACGGCTGAAGATGCCCAGAAGAGGTGGTGACTGCTCCTTGATTCGATCAACAGGTATTAAAAATCCTGAAAACGAGTTAATCTGGGAAAGCCTTGAATCCTCAACAGCATAAATCTGGATGACAAGCCATCTTTTCTCAATCACTGAAATCTCTCAAGTCCCAAAAGTAGCTCTGCATTTCCTCATGGAGATCCAATTTCCGTCCCCCTCAGTTCTTTTCACCTTCATGCTCTTCATATTCATGTTTCTGAGAATAGTGAAACGATCCAGGGCAAACTCCTCTTCTCCAACTCTACCTCCAGGGCCATGGAAGCTTCCTCTCATAGGAAACATGCACCAGTTGGTTGGCTCTCTACCGCACCACGGCCTGAGAGATTTAGCTAAGAAATATGGACCCCTAATGCGCCTACAACTTGGAGAACTTTCTATGGTGGTTGTTTCGTCTGCGACAATGGCAAAAGAGGTGATGAAAACCCATGATATCAATTTTGCTGACCGGCCTTTTCATCTTGCTGCAAGTATTATATCATATAATTCTACAGACATTGCCTTTGCGCCCTATGGAGTTTATTGGAGACAACTTCGAAAAATTTGCACAATGGAGCTATTGAGTGCAAAACGTGTCCGATCATATCGATCAATCAGGGAAAAAGAGGTCTCGAAACTCATCCAATCTATTTCTGCACAAGAAGGATCCACGATAAATCTAAGTAAAATGGTTTCGTCTTTCACTTTTGCCACCATTTCGAGGGCGGCCTTTGGTAAAAAATGCAAAGATGAAGAAGAATTCGTATCACTGGTTGAGGAAACTGTGGTAGCAGCAGGAGGTTTCAGTGTTGCAGAGCTCTACCCTTCTGTAAAACTGCTAGCTTTGATCAGTGGGATGAAGGCTAAGCTTGAGAAGATTCATCAAAAAGTTGACAGGATCATTGAAAACATCATCAAGGAACATAAAGCTCGAAAGGTGATAAAGACGACATCTGATGATGAATCAGACGAAGATCTTGTAGATGTTCTTCTAAGAGTTCAGGAGAATGGTGACCTTGAATTTCCCTTAACAACCGATAATATTAAATCAGTGATCATGGTTAGTAAATTTATGTTTTCTGCTTATATATCTTGTCCCTTTTTTTTGCAGTTTTACAGTCAGAAAGTTAATTGTTCTTCCAGATGAGCAAGTAAACATTAAATCTAGCACTTAAGACTAGACACCCCTGCAAGTTCCACATATTCACTAAATTAATCCCCATTGAAAAGGCACAAGTTTTTCATTCGAGAAAACGAAGTTTTAAGCTTGGGATGTAAGCTTAGTCTAATCTCAGATTGAAAAACTACAGAAACATTTAACTAGTGTCAGCCAATGACAAGATCAGAGGAATTCACCTGCAGAAAATTGGTTTATATCAATAACTTGTTTGGAACTTGAACAAGTAAAACTGTCAAAAAAAAATTTTCTACCACAATTACAATTCTCTTTTCAGGATATTTTCACTGCTGGAGTGGAGACATCCTCAACCACAGTAGAATGGGCAATGTCAGAATTGCTGAAAAACCCCCAAGTAATGGTGAAGGCACAAGCTGAGTTGAGAAAAATGTTTGGCAAGGATGGAAAAGTTGATGAAACGGGTCTTCCTGATTTGATGTATATAAAGCTAGTAGTCAAAGAAACACTGAGATTACACCCTCCTGCCCCTCTGTTGCTTCCAAGAGTATGTAGAGAGAGGTGTGAAATTAATGGATACGAGATACCTTCCAAAACCCAAGTAATTGTCAATGCATGGACAATTGGTAGGGATCCTGAATACTGGTCTAATGCTGAGAGCTTTGAGCCCGAAAGGTTCCTAGATAGTTTAATTGATTACAGGGGCACAGATTTTGAGTATATCCCATTTGGTGCCGGAAGGAGAATTTGTCCAGGCATATCATTTGGATTAGCCGGCGTTGAGCTTCCTCTTGCACAGTTACTGTACTACTTTGATTGGAAACTTCCAGATGGAGCAAAGCATGAAGATTTTGACATGAGTGAGCGTTTCGGTGCAACAGTCGGAAGAAAGAACCATCTGCATGTAATTCCAATCGCTTATCTTTCTTCAGCATCTGGATAAAGATGAATATGACCATTGTATNAGAAGAAAGAACGATCTGCATGTAATTCCAATCGCTTATCTTTCTTCAGCATCTGGATAATGATGAATATGACCATTGTATTGAACACGTACTCCTTAATAAGAACGGGAACAGAAGGAAAGGTTATTAATCTGAGGCAGTGTTACCAATTAGTTTCTTCTGTTATGTATCTGCATGTTTTTGATGATGTTCAATATCTTGAAAAGAAGCAGCTAAAATTTGTCAAACAAATTACAAAGATGTGAGCTTGTGTAGATCATCATTACTGTACTTTGGAAAAATTAAAAGAAGATTTTCATAGGTGAAGTTTTGAGACCATATGTTTCAGTCTTATAACTGTAACGCCCCAAGATCCACATTGTAGTCTGTTTTGGGCTAGACCCGCACGGCTTTAAAACACGTTGTACAATGAAAGTCTAAAACTCACACTTACTTATCACTCCACATCCAACTCCCTAGTCGATATGAGATTGGATTATCACAATACATCCAGATTATTTTTTAACTGTTCCTTGTAAGTCTTCCACATGTAGGTTATGCCAGTGTTAGTTTAATATGCTATGTACAGCCAAAGTGCCAAAGACAATCACTTGAAGCATCTGTATTTCTTATAATACTCAGGTCAGGTGCCGCCCAACCAAGAGAATCTTGTAATTTGCAATGCTTCTAAATTCAATAAACTCTCTGTTATAAAATTTCTAAGCCCACCCAATTAATAAATAAACCCATTACTCACCCTATTAGTGACCGAGCATTCTTTATTAACATATTAGGTCTCTATAGCATTGCTCATTGAATTGTGTCTATCAATTGAGTCCCCAAATTAGGTCCAAATAGCATTTTCCCTTACAAGCAATGCAGCTAAAAGCTTGGTGNCATTGAGTCTCCAAATTAGGTCCAAATAGCATTTTCCCTTACAAGCAATGCAGCTAAAAGCTTGGTGAATGCCACAGAATGAATATAAAATAAATATGGTGGTTAGATACAGCCAAATTGCCAAATACAGAATAAGTTTGAAACTTTGAAGCATCTATTTGATAGAGTTAATACCAAGATGCCACAGAAGCAAGAGAATCTTGTATTATGCAAAGCTCCAAGATTGAATACACTGATAAAATTGAATGCATGTAATGCAATTTCACCACAAGGCTTCAATTCTCATCCTTCTCTGCACTTTTGACCTTCTTTTTCTTTGTGTTCATTCTCCTGAAAAGGAGAAATGGATCAAAATCCAGTAATTCAGTTTCAAATCTGCCACCCGGCCCGTGGAAGCTACCTTTCATAGGAAATTTGCACCAATTGGCCGGTTCTCTTCCCTTCCGAGGCCTTAGAGACTTGGCCAAGAAACATGGACCCCTAATGCACCTACAACTTGGTGAAGTTTCCACCATTGTTGTTTCTTCACCAGAAACCGCGAAAGAGGTTATGAAAACCCATGACACCCTCTTTGCTTTAAGGCCCCGTATTTTTGCCGCAACAGTCATGTCTTACGATTGCACAAACATTGCCTTTGCTCCATATGGTGAATATTGGAGACAACTGAGAAAAATTTGTGTATTGGAGCTCTTAAGCACGAAAAGAGTTCAATCTTTTCGATCAATAAGAGAAGAAGAAACATCCAATCTCGTCGAATGGATTGCTTCAAAAACAGGATCAGCTATCAACCTTACAGACAAAATTATCTCGACAACGGTTTCCATAACTTCCAGGACAGCCTTTGGTAAGAAAAGTTAGGACCAAGACAATATCATTTCAATAATCAAGGAGGGTGTGAAAGCGGCAGGAGGCTTCTGTATTGAAGATATATATCCTTCCCTCAAATGGCTTCACTCCATCGGCGGGATGAAGCCCCAACTTATAAAGCTGCAACAAGAAGCAGACAGGATACTTGGAAACATCATCAATGAACATAAAGTGGGCAAGCTAACAAAGAACAAGGGTGAAGCATATGAAGATCTGGTTGATGTTCTTTTGAAATATCAGGAACAAGGAACTCTTGAATTTTCTTTGACAACCGACAACATCAAAGCGGTTCTCCTGGTTTTAGTCCTTTTGTTTCTGTTGTGTTTTTATGCATCCTGCATCAATAAGGCTCCATATACATCTGCCTAGAATAAGTGTGTATAGTTGAAGAGTAATGCTATTTAGTTTAGTCACCACAAAACCATTTTTTTCGGGTTCTTTGCTAGCAAGACACCTGTTAACCAACCATCTGAGTGACTGTCAATTCTTTTGCGAGCCAAGCCAATATGTCTCAATCCACCCAAGGAGAATTCGAATGAAAGAAGCAACAAGAGTAATAGTAGCGTGTGTCAACAAAAAACTCTATATCTCGTATATCGATTATGTAACTTAATTGTATCGATTCTGTATCAGGAAGTTATTAGTGGTGGGAGTGAAACATCGGCAACAGCAGCAGACTGGGCAATGTCTGAAATGCTCAGAAAGCCAAGCATCATGAAAAAGGCACAAGACGAGGTGAGACGTGTGTTCCATAGCAAAGGAAATGTGGACGAAACACTCTTCCACGTACTCAAGTACTTGGAAGCAGTTATCAAAGAGACTTTTCGATTACACCCTCCGGTTCCTCTATTACTTCCGAGAGTATGTGGAGAGAGAGGTGAGATTAATGGATATGAGATCCCGGAGAAAACAAAGTCATTGTGAATGCATGGGCGATTGGAAGAGATACCAATTACTGGACCAATGCTGAGTGCTTTGAACCAGAGAGATTCCTTGATAGTTCAGTTGATTACAAGGGGACTCATTTTCAGTGCATTCCATTTGGTGCTGGAAGGAGGATGGATGTGTCCAGGCATTTCATTTGGTGTGGTCAATTTGGAGTTCGAACTTGCACAGTTGTCGTATCATTTTGATTGGAAACTCCCCAATGGAATGCAGAAAGAAGAAATTGACATGACACAGCGCTTTGGCGCGGCAGTTAAAAGAAAAGAAGACCTATATGTAGTTCCTGTTGCTTATCAACCTATGGCACAACCAGTTGATCAATGATNCAGAAAGAAGAAATTGACATGACACAGCGCTTTGGCGCGGCAGTTAAAAGAAAAGAAGACCTACCTATATGTAGTTCCTGTTGCTTATCAACCTATGGCACAACCAGTTGATCAATGATCGGTGCCTGCTGGAGTTGTATCCTCCTTCTGCCATATGTCAGACATTTTAATTCTCATAATACTACTTGGACCTAATTTTATGATCCACNATCGGTGCCTGCTGGAGTTGTATCCTCCTTCTGCCATATGTCAGACATTTTAATTCTCATAATACTACTTGGACCTAATTTTATGATCCACTGATGTGACAATTGAGATGGCCGAGTAGTTTACTCTTTCAATTAAATAAGATGAAATAAACACCAAAACTTGCCACCAATCCTCATGTTTTTTCAGTTTTTTGGGTGCGCATATTCATGGTACATTCTGCCCAAAATATTAATATATCATAAAAAAATACATGAGGAAAGACATAATGTGTTAGTACATGGTTGTACATTCAAGCACATACACACGCGCACAAAAAAAACAACAAACAAACATAAAGCAACTGTCTTCTTGTTTCTGGACTAACTGTCTTGTTTTTACAGCACTTCTGATTCCTTGCCCTCATCTTCACTTGTGTATATTTACTGTTCCTCCTTGTATTGCACCTGTAACCCTGCAAACATTTTGTGTTGATGGTGCATTCACCACATTAAGCATTCATTACAATAGAATGTTCCTAATTAAGCAAAGCAAAGATATGAGGCTGTTGAATTCTAGAGTGCTAAAGCTAAACCTATGTAAGAATATTAGTACTGGTCCATAAGTTCCATAAAAAGACACCACTGGATCTTTAGTACCAATTGTACCATCCAATTTGCAGCTTACCCTAGTTGGGTGTTCAAGTCCCATTGCAGACTTGAGAGTTTGGGGCAGATACAGAATAGAGTGAGCTTAGTAAGTAATGAGATGGGTATAAAATGAAATGACTTAGTAGTTTTATAGGAGAGAGTTTAATGGGGTAGGGAGGAATATTTGTGGGGCAGGAATAGTCCGACCCTTTTAGTATAGCTTCTTAGAATTGATCAATGAGAATAGAAAAGAGAAAAGGAGAATAGATTATTCATAAAAGAAGTTTATAATACACAGCTTAACCTAGAAATACACAAAGTAATCCTTATATAGTAGGGCAACACAACATAAAGAAAATGCCTAAACTATCCTTACTATGAATACTCTAACACCCCCTCTCAAACTCATAATGTGGTAGAAAACATCAAGAGTTTGCCAANGCAACACAACATAAAGAAAATGCCTAAACTATCCTTACTATGAATACTCTAACACCCCCTCTCAAACTCATAATGTGGTAGAAAACATCAAGAGTTTGCCAAGAAGAAATCTAAAACGTGCTATGATATGAGACTTCGTAAAAGAATCCGCTATCTGCATTGTGGAAGGAAGAAATGGGAGAGTGATGCTGCCCTGTTGCAGATGATGACGCACAAAGTGACAATCAATCTCAATGTGTTTTGTATGCTCATGGAAGACTGAGTTATGAGCAATCTAAATAGCACTGGTGTTGTCGCAGAACACAGGAGTAGTAGATGATACCAAAATGCAAAGATCAGCAAGGAGCCATTGTAACTAGACTATCTCAGCTGTAGTAGATGCCATAGCACGATACTTAGCTTCAGCAGAAGAACGAGCAACAACAGTTTGTTTCTTGCTTTTTCAGGAAATAAGAGAATTCCTAAGAAACAGGCAGAAACCAATGGTGGACTTACGATCCATAGAGTTACCAGCCCAGTCAGCATCAAAGTAAGCCCTGAGTTTCATAGATGAAGAGTGAGAAAAGAGTAAACTCTAATAGAGTACCACGAAGATATTGAAGAATGCGAAGAACAGTAGACCAGTGAACGGTGGTGGGTGAGGCAACAAATTGACTCACAATGTGAACAGCATAAGAGATATCGGGACGAGTGACTGTAAGATATACTAAACTCCCAACAATAGTCCGATTGAGGGTTGGGTCAGATAAGGGAGTACCGTCAGACGAAGAGTAACGAACATTGAGCTCTAAAGGTGTCTCAACTGTCTGATTATCTGATAAACGAGCTCATTCAATAACATCTGAAGCATACTTGGATTAAGAGAGAAGATACCCTTTAGGAGAGGAAGCAATCTCAATACCCAAGAAATATCTAAGCAGCCCTAAATTTTTCATCTCAAAATGGTCTTGCAACTGGGTTTTCAATAAGCAGATGCTAGCAGTGTCATTACCCGTAATAATCATATCATCAACATATAGTAAGAAAATAATAGAACCTGAGGAAGTAGACCGTAAAAAGAGAGCAGAATCATGGTCACTGGCACAAAAACTCAAGTCACAGATAACCGAAGAAAATTTGGCAAATCATACTCTGGGAGCCTGTTTAAAACCATATAAGGAACGATGAAGTCGATATACTTGATCAGAACTATAAGATAATCCAGGAGGAGGTTTCATAAAAACTTCTTCAGTCAAATCTCCATGTAGAAATACATTTATCACATCCATTTGAGACAAACTCCATTGTCGAATGGCAGCAACTGCAATCACGGTGCGAACAGTAGTCATCTTGGCAACTGGAGCAAAAGCCTCATCATAATCTAGAAATACACAAAGTAACCCTTATATAGTAGGGCAACACAACATAAAGAAAATGCCTAAACTACCTTTAATATGAACACTCTAACATAGCTCTCGTATGTTTTACTACTTTTATCATCCTATTGTCTCTCCAACTTTTCACTTATCTTTCTTTTTGAAGTTTTGATCTATAATCTTTCTTCTCTCTATAGATTCATGCAATGTCTTATTTGAAAATTCAAGCATGTTGCTTAATGACTAAGATCCTCTCCCATTCCATTATTGGAAGGTGAGGTTCGGTTTACTTCTTTTGGGTGCGAAGTAATCAAACGTTGGAACTGATATGGATAATTTGATCCAAAACAGGTTGTGACAGCACTTCGACTCGATCGCCATCAATTTAAGAATCCTTAATATGCTTCCTTAACTGTCCAACTTGACTTAATGAAAATGCACTTGAGATGCACTGTTCAGTCACTAAGCCCTTATTAAAACCATTGCCTGCAGCAACAAATTCATCATTTTGGACAATAACCCAAAATGTCAAACAGCAGAAAACAAACCCAAAGATATTCTTGCGAATCCTTATGTGCTCCAAAGCATAAATGTGGAGCACTTAGTTCTGAATCACTGAAATCTCTCAAGTATTGAAAGCTCCTGACATGACTGAGGTATTTGGCGCAAGTGTTAAGAAGAAAACCGAACTGCATCTAATTCCTGTCACTTATCATCCTTCACCATCTAAATAAGGATGAATATCGCTGTTGTGTTGAATATTTACTCCTCAATAAGAAGAGAAGGTAAAAGCTATTAATCAGCACAGATGTTCAGTGTCAGTATTAATGCCTAGTGTCAATCTGAGGCAGTGTTACCAATTAGTTTTTGTTATGCATCTAATGTTTCAGGTAATGTACCATATGTGGAAAAGATACGGGCTAAAATTCGTCAGAAAAATACCAAACTTGTGAGATTGTGCAGATCTGAGTCTTATAACTTGGCTGTGGACCTCTAAAATAAGTAAACATCAGTTTGATGAGCACCTTTATGTCTGTCCATGGGTTTCGACTGTTTAGTTTATTGTTTCTTATTAATTTCAAACGTCCAAGGGTGTTCTTGCTGATAATAAGTGTTCAGAAGTGAAGTAAACAAGAATTTCTGGAATATAGTGAATCATTAGTAACTAAATAGTGTTTCCTCATCAGTCCAATATTGGTAAGTGCACACCCCAGCCTAGAGTAAGATATGTCGTCATCTTCAAAGAAGCAGGATACAATAGCTCTTTCACCATGCCAATTGGTTTTATCAAAAGTTCTGAGCAGCTCAGTTCATTGAGGGGGCTCATTAAAATTGTAAAACAAAATGAATCTTGTATGATCAATTTCTAAGCTCGTGTTGTAAATAAGTTGAATCTTAGCAACACATGATTTGAGTCAAACAGTCTCAGCTCGGCTTGGAACTTTTAATTTTACCGTCCAAACAACTACTATTTGAAAGAGGGACAACTCCAATCTTATCCTCAATAGTTTCATGGCATATACACTTCCCACTTCCTCTTTTTCTAACAGAAATTTGAGAAGTGTTAAATTTTATGATTATAATTTGTAATTAATTATACAGGTTTTATAGGATTTTCATTAAGAAATTATTTTTTGGCATTAATTATTAAGTTTAAGGTTTAAATTTGAAATTTTTGTTAAGAAATTGAGCTTTTTCAACTTTGGTTCGAATGCTTCCAAGCTTTAGCAGAGCCGAGCTTCAGCCACATTATAAGGTCAAGAGTTGAGCTTGATTAGAACTCCATTCCAAGCAGTCATAAGTAAGCAGAATCTCAGCATGTTTACGCGCGGCTCAGTAAGCACACTCCACGCCAATGTTTCATCTTTCGGCCCCTCAACCCCCAAAATATTCTTCATACTCAACTTCTTTAGTGAGTGTGGATGTCAATTCCGGTGAGTTGTGAATTGGCACCCGAATATTAAACAGCTTTTACATCTCATGTTAACAAATGCAGATAAAAACCTGGTGAATGTCATAGAATGAGTATAAATATGGCTGTTATTTTCTGAAGTCAAACCAACACTTCCTTAAGATTACTCAGACTACCAGAGTGGAACGCTTCAACCAGAAATCGTTTTCATGACAGCAAAAAGCTTAAAGTAGTGAATATGAAGGAAGATATTGCATAACCAAGACAAGTAATTCTATATAAAATTTTCACTTCCAGATATATATTAATCAAATTTTGTGGTATTTTTTTTAGGATTTGAAGATGTAGTTTATACTATGTTAATTAGATACAGCCAAATTGCAGAAGACAGAATCAGTTTTGAAACTTTGAAGCATCTATTTGATTTAGATAATACAAAGATGCCACAGAACAAAGAGAATCTTGTAACATGCAAAGCTCCAAGATTGCATACACTGATAAAACTGAATATAATGCAATTTATTTTCACCACAAGACTTTCCGCTAGACTCATCTCTATTTCCTGATGGAGCTTCAATTCTCATTCTTCTCTGCACTTTTGACCTTCTCTTTCTTTGTGTTCATGCTCCTGAAAAGGAGAAATGGATCCAAATCCAGTAATTCAGCTTCAAATCTACCACCCGGCCCATGGAAGCTACCTTTCATAGGAAATTTGCACCAATTGGCCGGTTCTCTTCCCCACCAAGGCCTTAGGACCTTGGCTAAGAAACATGGCCCCCTAATGCACCTACAACTTGGTGAAGTTTCCACCATTGTTATTTCTTCACCAGAAAACCGCGAAAGAGGTTATGAAAATCCATGACATCATCTTTGCTTGAAGACCCCCTATTGTTGCTGCAACAATCATGTCTTATGATTGCACAAGCCTTGTCTTTGCTCCATATGGTGAATATTGGAGACAAGTGAGAAAAATTTGTGTATTGGAGCTCTTAAGCACCAAACGAGTTCAATCTTTTCGATCAATAAGAGAAGAAGAAGTATACAATCTCATCGAATGGATAGCTTCAAAAACAGGATCACCTATCAACCTTACTGAAAAAATTATCTCAACAACACTTTCCATAACTTCAAAGGCAGTTTTTGGTAAGAAAAGTAAGGACCAAGACAATTACATTTCAATAATCAAGGAGACTGTGGAAGCGGCAGGAGGCTTCTGTATTGAAGATGTATATCCTTCCCTCAAATGGCTTCACTCCATCGGCGGGATGAAGTCTAAACTTAAAAAGCTGCAACAAGAAGTAGACAGGATACTTGGAAACATCATCAATGAACATAAAGTTGGCAAGCTAACAAAGAATGACGGTGAAGCATATGAAGATCTGATTGATGTTCATTTGAAATATCAGGAACAAGGAAATCCTGAATTTTACTTGACAACCGACAACATCAAAGCAGTTCTCCACGTTAGTGTCATTTTCCTTTCAGCTTGTTTTTAATCTTTCTATGCATCCTGCATCAGTAGGGTTACAAATATAAATTCCTCTACCCTCAAAATTCCTCTGCCGAGAATAAGTGTATAGATGAATAGAACCTGTTGAGCATCACAAAAACATTTTTTTCGGTTTTTTTGCTACATAGACACCTGTTAACCAACAACCTGACTGGCTGTCAATTCTTTTGCGAGCCAAGCCAATATGCCTTTGAGAGGAGAATCTGAATGAAAGTAGCAACAAGAATGATAGTAGCGTGTGTCAACAAACAACTCTATACCTCATATTTTGATTATGTAACTTAAATTATATCAATTGTATCAGGACATGTTTAGTGCTGGGAGTGAAACATTGGCCGCAGCTGCAGACTGGGCAATGTCTGAAATGCTCAGAAAGCCAAGCATCCTGAAAAAGGCACAAGACGAGGTGAGACGTGTGTTCCACAGCAAAGGAAATGTGGACGAAACACTCTTTCACGAACTCAAGTACTTAGAAGCAGTTATCAAAGAGACTCTTCGATTACACCCACTGGTTCCTCTATTGCTTCCGACAGTACGTGGAGAGAGATGTGAGATTAATGGATACGAGATACCGGAGAAAACCAAAGTCATTGTGAATACATGGGCAATTGGAAGGGATCCCAATTATTGGACCAATGCTGAGTTCTTTGAACCAGAGAGATTCCTTGATTGTTCAGTTGATTATAAGGGGACTCATTTTCAGTACATTCCATTTGGAGCTGGAAGGAGGATGTGTCCAGGCATTTCATTTGGTGTGGTCAATTTGGAGTTCGAACTTGCACAGTTGTTGTATCATTTTGATTGCAAACTCCCCACTGGAATGAAGAAAGAAGAAATTGACATGACAGAGTGCTTCGGCGCCGCAGTAAAGAGAAAACAACACCTACTTGTACCTAATGGTACGATCCAATGATGTGACGATTGAGATGGTCTGCGTAGTTTAGTCTTTCAATTATAATAAGATGAAATAAACACGAAACTTGCCACCAATCCTCCTTTTTTTCACTTTTTTTTTGGTTCGCTTGGAAAATAGAGATTCTTTTGTCAAAGGATAAACAAAAATAAGTGAAAATTAGACTTTGACACCTCAATTACTCCCCCCCCAACCCCCCAAAGCATGACATTTCCCATATTACACCTTCACAAATGAAGGCTGAAGTCCTAAAAGGAAGATAAGATCTCAACAATTTGGAAACATATGCAGAACCGAAGGCCAAAAAAATTTAATTCAGATCCACTCGAGTGTTTATGTGCCGGCGCTAATTCTATTCAAATGGATCCCTTACTAGTATAGCATGTATGATCTAGAGTTAAAAGACTTGAAGGTAATTCATTGGTAACAAAGAAAATCTTAAGCCTAGAAAATATCTCTACAAAACATCAGCATCAGGAGGCCATGTCGAAATGGACTTATATAAGAAATTCCAGTGCAGTCTACTAATTGAACTTGGCTTCCTCAGCAAAAAAAGTCATAAATGGCGGATACAATGAATTGCTTTGCAACATTCTTCAGAAGCCAATAACACCCTTTCTTCAGTCCTCAGTGCTACTCTCCTTAGTCATAAGCTTCTTTTTTGTCCTAGTTGTTACTCTCCTTTAATCCTCATGGAATTTCAGTTTCCCTCCATCTCTATTCTTCTTGCTTTCCTCCTCTTTCTGTTTGCACTGATCAGAATTGGTGTGAAAAGATCCACTACTAATAAGTCAACTCCAAAACTACCCCCAGGCCCATGGCAACTGCCTCTCATAGGAAACATGCACCAGCTTCTTGGATCACTCACTCATCATGTCCTTAGAGATTTATCCAACAAATATGGACCACTGATGCACCTACGGCTCGGTGAAGTTTCAACTGTCATCGTTTCTTCGCCAGAAATTGCCAAAGAGGTTATGAAAACACATGATATTATCTTTGCCAACAGACCTTACCTTCTCTTTTCCCGAATTCTCTCTTATGATTCTACAAACATTGGCTTTTCACCGTACGGAGATTACTGGAGACAACTGCGCAAAATTTGCACAGTGGAGCTGTTGAATTCAAATCGGGTCCAAGGATTTCGATCAATAAGGGAAGAGGAGGTCTTGCATCTCATTAGGTCGATATCTCCAGATTGGAGATCCCCTATCAATCTTAGCAAGAAAATTTTCTCTCTGACATACGGTATTACTGCAAGAGCTGCATTTGGGAAAAAAAACACAGACCAAGAAGCATTTGTCTCTCTGGTAGAGGAAGTTGTAAAGCTGGCAGGAGGTTTCAGCCTCTGCGACATGTACCCTTCTTTCAAATTTCTTCAACTCATAAGCGGAATGAGACCTAGACTTGAGAAGCTACACAAAAGAATTGATGAGATACTTGAAAACATTGTCAATGATCACAAAGAGAAGAATATGACAACAAAAACTGGGGAGGAAGCAGCAGAGGAGGATCTAGTAGACGTTCTTCTTAAATTTTTGAAGCATGGCGACCTACAAGTTCCATTAACCGACAGAAACATCAAAGCAGTCCTCTTTGTGAGTTGTTTTGTTTGTTCATTAGTAACATTTAGTAGTAATACTTACGAGTAACAACAACATCATCACCAAATTCAAGGTATATTTATTTGTAGCATCTTAAGTAAAGATTGATGCTGGAGGTAAGCATTATGGGAAAAGACAAATATGTACAGAGGGTGGGTTATTCTTTTCCTTTCTGAGATTTGTTGTGTGTGTTGTTGGGGGGGGGGGGGTGATGGGGGTGAGAATGAGGGTCTATTTGGTTGAAAAAGCATTAATTTCTGATTGTAAGTTGGAGCCTTGGGAGCAAGGTCAATCAACCACATAACTTCCCTCACATTTTTCCAGTTGTACAACAATGATAATAGCTTAATTAATAGAGGTCTACATGAGAACAATGCTCGAGACCAAAAATGCTCCTCGTTATAGTATGTATAACTGTGATTTGTCAATTTTCTTTCTTTTATGTAGCCTCATATGGAGTGCTTCAAGAGACCTATATGCAAAAAAAGGAAGAATATTTGGCCCTACCAATAAACTAATGTGAGTCCATCAACTCTATTTCAGGACATTTTAAGTGCCGGGAGTGACACTTCATCAACAGCAGTGGTGTGGGCAATGTCAGAAATGCTTAAAAGCCCACAAGTAATGAAAAGGGCACAAACTGAGGTAAGAAAAGTCTTTGGTAGAAGAGGAAACGTGGATGAAGGTGGCCTTCATGAATTAAAATACCTGCAAGCAATAATAAAAGAGACCTTGAGGCTACACCCCTCTGCTCCTCTGCTGCTTCCAAGAGAATGTAGCGAGCAATGCGAAGTAAATGGATATGAAATACNAAATTTAATTCAGATCCACTCGAGTGTTTATGTGCCGGCACTAATTCTATTCAAATGGATCCCTTACTAGTATAGCATGTATGCTCTAGAGTTAAAAGACTTGAAGGTAATTCATTGGTAACAAAGAAAATCTTAAGCCTAGAAAAAATCTCTACAAAACATCAGCATCAGGAGGCCATGTCGAAATGGACTTATATAAGAAATTCCAGTGCAGTCTAATAATTGAACTTGGCATCCTCAGCAAAAAAAGTCATAAATGGCGGATGCAATGAATTGCTTTGCAACATTCTTCAGAAGCCAATAACACCCTTTCTTCAGTCCTCAGTGCTACTCTCCTTAGTCATAAGCTTCTTTTTTGTCCTAGTTGTTACTCTCCTTTAATCCTCATGGAATTTCAGTTTCCCTCCATCTCTATTCTTCTTGCTTTCCTCCTCTTTCTGTTTGCACTGATCAGAATTGGTGTGAAAAGATCCACTACTAATAAGTCAACTCCAAAACTACCCCCAGGCCCATGGCAACTGCCTCTCATAGGAAACATGCACCAGCTTCTTGGATCACTCACTCATCATGTCCTGAGAGATTTATCCAACAAATATGGACCACTGATGCACCTACGGCTCGGTGAAGTTTCAACTGTCATCGTTTCTTCACCAGAAATTGCCAAAGAGGTTATGAAAACACATGATATTATCTTTGCCAACAGACCTTACCTTCTCTTTTCCCGAATTCTCTCTTATGATTCTACAAACATTGGCTTTTCACCGTACGGAGATTACTGGAGACAACTGCGCAAAATTTGCACAGTGGAGCTGTTGAATTCAAATCGGGTCCAAGGATTTCGATCAATAAGGGAAGAGGAGGTCTTGCATCTCATTAGGTCGATATCTCCAGATTGGAGATCCCCTATCAATCTTAGCAAGAAAATTTTCTCTCTGACATACGGTATTACTGCAAGAGCTGCATTTGGGAAAAAAAACACAGACCAAGAAGCATTTGTCTCTCTGGTAGAGGAAGTTGTAAAGCTGGCAGGAGGTTTCAGCCTCTGCGACATGTACCCTTCTTTCAAATTTCTTCAACTCATAAGCGGAATGAGACCTAGACTTGAGAAGCTACACAAAAGAATTGATGAGATACTTGAAAACATTGTCAATGATCACAAAGAGAAGAATATGACAACAAAAACTGGGGAGGAAGCAGCAGAGGAGGATCTAGTAGACGTTCTTCTTAAATTTTTGAAGCATGGCGACCTACAAGTTCCATTAACCGACAGAAACATCAAAGCAGTCCTCTTTGTGAGTTGTTTTGTTTGTTCATTAGTAACATTTAGTAGTAATACTTACGAGTAACAACAACATCATCACCAAATTCAAGGTATATTTATTTGTAGCATCTTAAGTAAAGATTGATGCTGGAGGTAAGCATTATGGGAAAAGACAAATATGTACAGAGGGTGGGTTATTCTTTTCCTTTCTGAGATTTGTTGTGTGTGTTGTTGGAGGGGGGGGGGGGTGATGGGGGTGAGAATGAGGGTCTATTTGGTTGAAAAAGCATTAATTTCTGATTGTAAGTTGGAGCCTTGGGAGCAAGGTCAATCAACCACATAACTTCCCTCACATTTTTCCAGTTGTACAACAATGATAATAGCTTAATTAATAGAGGTCTACATGAGAACAATGCTCGAGACCAAAAATGCTCCTCGTTATAGTATGTATAACTGTGATTTGTCAATTTTCTTTCTTTTATGTAGCCTCATATGGAGTGCTTCAAGAGACCTATATGCAAAAAAAGGAAGAATATTTGGCCCTACCAATAAACTAATGTGAGTCCATCAACTCTATTTCAGGACATTTTAAGTGCCGGGAGTGACACTTCATCAACAGCAGTGGTGTGGGCAATGTCAGAAATGCTTAAAAGCCCACAAGTAATGAAAAGGGCACAAACTGAGGTAAGAAAAGTCTTTGGTGGAAGAGGAAACGTGGATGAAGGTGGCCTTCATGAATTAAAATACCTGCAAGCAGTAATAAAAGAGACCTTGAGGCTACACCCCTCTGCTCCTCTGCTGCTTCCAAGAGAATGTAGCGAGCAATGCGAAGTAAATGGATATGAAATACCCGTCCAGACCAGAGTTATTGTCAATGCCTGGGCAATTGGAAGAGATCCAAGGTACTGGAGTGAAGGTGAGAAATTCAACCCAGAGCGATTTCTTGATAGTGCAGTCGATTACAAGGGGACAGATTTCGAATACATCCCATTTGGTGCTGGAAGAAGGATATGTCCAGGCATATTATTTGCCCTGCCTAATATTGAGCTCCCACTTGCACAACTTCTGTACCATTTCGATTGGGAACTTCCCAACGGATTGAAGCAAGAAGAACTAGACATGACTGAGACCTTTGGCATCACTGTGAGAAGAAAACAGGAGTTGTGTTTGATTCCAGTTCGTTATCATCCATCTCCTACCAAATAAATCGCATAGAACATACGTCGGGGTTAATGGCAAATGCTATTGAAATTATTGTGCTGCATTTTCAGAGGATTATCTTATTTGCAGTAATTTTGAGTGGTTTCTGTATAATGTATGTAATTTAAGAAAACAAAGTTTGTTACTCATATATTATATGCTAATCATCGCAGTTATAATCTTATAATTTGTGAGTCATGAATCATTGGCAGCATCTACTACCATTAACTGCAACTAAATGGGAACTTCAGGTTAATAACACTCGGATTGATATCACTAATGCTTCGTTTGGTATAATAGAAAAATAAAAGGATGAAAAATTAGAATATATCTTATTTATTTATATATCATTTGATATATACTGATGGGACTTTAGGTGGCTCAGCAGCCCCAAGTCGACATGTGGATAGTTATAATCGTTATGGACCTCAAAAGATGTTGGGAGAAGGAGTCGAGGAGTTATGACTCAGAAGAGTCGAGCATACACCGATTAACCCCAGCATTAAAGAGGACGTGATTACTCATTAATGACGATTTAAGTGATTGTGACAGGGTTATTAATGAGTATCTGTGCCCTCGAGACCAACGGAGACAATCATCATTACAAAGTATTAATTGCTACTGTGTCAACCCTATGTTCTCGGCACACCCCGAGATGCTTATTCTCGAGCAGTAAACGCTCAGGCATAAGTGTCAATCACCGATTAGATGTATTTAATGACTGGGGATAAGACCATAAATGTTCAGCATGTCCCGAGCTAGCATCCGATCACCCAATTAAATCAGTGTTATGAGAATATAAGGGAATAACACTCATTATGCATAAATAAGAGTGCGAGCCATTAAATGTTGAGATGGGACTCAAAACCCCTACACTCATTGCTAGTTTAGGTATAAATACTCCTCAGAAAGATGAACAAATGTACACAATTTAGAACGAGAAAAATACACTGTGTTGGTCTCTAATGCCAACTGACTTAAACTTTAGATGGAATTAGACGAGTATTCACCCAACTACTTTCCTAACTTTTTGATTGTTTCATGTCATCATCTAGTGGATCGTTATTTCTCTTTATTGCAGAAATTCTTTCCTGCATATGCATATATTATGTTTACATTAATTACATACAAAAATACAATGATAAAATATGTATTTATAGTTTTTTTTTTAAAAATAAAAATAAAATATTTAAGAATAAAAAATAAAAATAAAATATTTAAGAATAAAAATAAATATTTTTTCCATCATAGCTAGAAGTGAAAATTTTTGACTCAATAAGATGACACAATTCGAACACGACACAAATTTTATGACACGATCTTAATTATTACTTAACATGAACTCGAAAATGACCTGACACGAACACGAAATATAAACGGCTCATAGTTAGTTCAACCTGTCAAACCTAAAATTGACGTCATCAACCCATGTATTTAAGAATAAATATTTTCTCTATTTTCTCGTTTGCATGGTAATACGAAATTAACATGTTTAACTAATATTATACACATAAAATATTAATTATTTGTAACTATTTATTAAGCACTAATATAATTACTATATAAAAAAGATATTTTTATTTATTATTATTATTATTATTAAATTTATTTAAAATTAATTTTTAGTTTGTAGAAAAAGTATGAGGATTGATTCAATTAATCAAAATAAAATATTAGCATTAAATTTTGTATTCAAAGTTTATGTGGGTCAACACAAATACAATATGAAAATAAACAGATCTACGCGATACGACATGATTAATTAAATGAGTTGAGTTATATTTGATTAATGTTCGAGACAAACCCGCAATGACTTGACGCAAACCTAACATGACACAACTCGATTGTCACCCCAAATCTTAACAAGCACAAAAAAAATTAATAATTTTTATTTTTCATTCATCCTACTAAACATAAAGGAAGGAAAATATATTGTTCTTTATTTTCTTCTTTGAAGTATAGAAATATATTTTTCTATTTTTTTATCTCTTCTACTTTACACCGTTCCTACTAAAATGAGCATAAAAAAAGCCTTTAGTTGTGCCAAAGATCAGAAACCCCCCTCCCCCGGTCTCTAATCAAAAGGCTTTCTCATCTTTGGATGTGTTTGGGGTGCTAGATAAAGGTGGATACTAAAGGGGATTGGACTAAAAATATTCAAGGGACCCACTTATCCTTGATTTGACAAGAGAATTAAGGAGGGGATAGTCGTTGCCTACAAAAAATAGGGCCGTATGTTTTGGGGCCACATATCTCTTCTGAATTAGACTTTTAGATCCCACACGTGAAGTTTGGGATAGCTAAACTTACTAATAGGATATCTACATATTTACCTAAATACCCTTGTACAATAGAAAATTAAGGACCTGTTTGGTAATTATCTTTGTCTTATGTTTTATGTTTTTGTTTTCAATTTTTGTCAAAAATGAAAACAAAGACATGTTTGAGTATTATTTTTGTTTCTGTTTTATATTAGTTGTCTTCAAAAAAATGGGAACAAAGACAAAAAAATGGGAACAAAAAAAATGTGTTTCAGAAAATATTTGAAACACAAAACACGCGCGCAACTCAGCTGAAGTTTTTAATGAGGTCTCGGATTTGACCCTCATTATCAACAAAAATGTGTTATTTTTCGTGGACGTATAAAAACCCATTTCAAGCGTCTCTCCACCCATCGATTCTCTCTCCGTCTCTCTTTTCTCTCCCTCCTCTTCTCCTTTCTCTGTATCAGACAACCGAAAGAAACCCCCATCACTGCCTCTCCTCCCCATCGTTGCCTATCTTTTCCCCAGCGCTGCCTCTCTCCTTCCCATCGCTGCCTCTCTTTCTCCTCTCTCCCTCTTCTCTGTGAAACCCAGAAACTGTGCATGTATACACAGATTTGTGCATAGAAGGTGAAGAAGAGGATAAGGTGATTGTCTTCAAGCCATGACATCCATTGTGAGGAAAAAGATCTGTGCGTGTGAAGAAAATTTGTGTGCGTGTGTGTGTTGTGTTGATTTGAGATTTAATTGTCAAATAGATACCAAATATATTTAAGATAAAATTTGAATTTGTTACCAAACATATTTTTTGTTTTTATTCTCATAATTTGATAGACAAAAACGACTCCCAAACATATTTTCGATTTTTGTGTTTATCACAAAACAAATACAAAATTTATCTTTGTTTTTTATTTTTTTCAAGACGCGAAAACAAAAACGTTACCGAACGACCTAATGTTTTTATTCCCCTCTTTCCATTTTCACCCCACTGGTCTCCCCTTTTGCTACGAATGGCACTCACCCACAAGTGCCCCATCACAAGTGAATGGCGCTCACCCGCCGATCCCCCCTCACAAGCAAAGGTATGCCTCTCTCTCTCTTTCTCTCTCTCCGGCCTTTATAGTCATGGATAGAAACCAGAAAAAAATCTAGAAAATTTAGTCTATATAAATCAATGTCTGAAGCACCCGTTGACGATAACGAAATTCGAATCACTTCAGAGGTACTAGTTCTCATACGCCAATAGTTTCTCACTCTCAGTCTCACCCCAGTAATGGTGCTACTGGTTTGCCCACCCCTAATTTGTTTGTGTATTTGAACTAACATATACTCTTATGTATTTATTTATGTCTGAATTCTTGGATGTTTGATGGTCTTGGTAAATATTTTTTAACTTGATTATGGAATTGGTGAAGTTGTTGGGTTAGAGAAAATAATTTTAGATGAAGTTCATGAATTGGCAACAGTCTCTATCTCTGTCAACTCTGATCACATTCTCTTTGATCTTGGTTTAAAATTTGCTAAAAATCTTGGTGCTTCATATTTTTTCTCATCTGGGTATGTCTTGGCTCCTGAATAATTAATGCAAAAGCTATTTTAGATATTGACATACTTCCTTTCACTGTGTTTTTATTTCGCATTTTGTTCTAATCAACATTCATAAAAGTATAAGAAACGATTAACAACATATATTGTTTAGCATACTGATTATAAATATGTTTCAGAACTAGCCTTTTACATCAAATTTGGGTTTATATTATCTTGTGCTTGAGTAATCTTCAAATTTTTTGCATATGGTATCATGTGTTATGAGTCATCCGTGAGTTTTGTTAATGGGTTGTATTTGGTTGAGGGTGTAACAAGAATCACATTTAACAATTTTCATGTGGAAGTTGAAATAAAGAAAATGACATATGAAATTTAGTTCAGGGGAATATCGCTATGCAATGTTATGAATTTTTAAAAGGGTTTATGGTTCATGTATTTGTCGGAATCAGAGTCGTTGGTGTTGGTTAATTATGTGATGGAGAGGTGTGAATGTGCATGGACTGTTCTGGATTTTTTTAGACAGATCAAGAACCTATTGAGCCTATCTGATTATGAGCTGAACACATGTTTATAGGGAAGCTAATATAGTTGCTGGTAAACTGGCAAATCAAGCAATGCAAGATAGATTTTCAACTGATTTTTTCAGCTGCTCATAATCTGCCAAGTGTTGTGCAGTTGGTTCTGCTGCAAGATTCAACACTACTGTCTGTTCTTCGCCAGAAGAAGATATTGGTGTATGATGATAACGGTTGATAACTGATGAGCTAGTTTCAATTGTCTTTCGATTTTGGGCAGTGGAGGCTGGTTTGTGATCCTAAAGGAGAGTTGTTTTTTTATTTTTTTTGTGTTTTGAAGGATTAAAGCCTTCAAACAAGATGGCTTTCCTCTTTCTTTTTCTAGGATCTGTGTAGCTGTTGTTGCAGAACAGCAAGGAATCAAGGTGCTCATAAGGAAAATTTTCTTTTTTGATTCTTTGTAATGTGAACTGAATAATTTGCTTTTTGTAATTTTTTTTTTTTTGAAAAATGAAATCAATTTTGATTTCTTTAAAAAAAATGTTAATGTTTGTGTAATTTTGGCTCTTGCATTCAGTTGTCATATTTTTTGTTAATTAATTTCAGTATAATATTTTGGGTGGGTCGAATATATTTGTGGTCGCCTTTTTAAAATTTGTTTACAATGAATGGAAAATTTTTGATTTTTTACGATAGCTAACTAGGCATAACTTTTCAATTCAATATTAATCTTAACTTTTTACACAAGCCTTAGGCCTATAACAAGGCTGCTCACTGGGTGGCAGCCGTCAAGTTAAACAATTCTCTCACGTGGGATTGGGTTGGCTCTAATCCCCCGAGAGTTTGAGACTTTTCTTTTGAATGATTATAACCAAAACTTTCCTACTTAATGAAATACAGATGATGTCTTATTATTTAAAAAAATTCAATATTAAAGTGGTAACTAAAAATTTCTCAAGCCAAACATGAGATAGGTTTGGATAGAATTAAGGGTAAGATGGTAAATTAATATTAAAGTTACAAGATTTGACCAAAAAAAAATTGGTTTGTCCATGGAGCCCACAATATTATAAATTACTATTCAAATCAAGGATTAGATAAAATCATTTGTTTTTATGCAATATTATATCCGAGTTATTGAGATTTCATTAGATTGATTTGGAATTTAAATCCAAACCAGTCCAATCCACCATTGCATTGCCAAACACCCCTTTAATGATCAAGGAGGTCTTTCGCCTCCGATGACTTGGAGCAGCAGCCTGAAGGTCCCTTAGGAATCTTGGGTGAAGAACGAACAGAAAACCAAACAGCTTGTAATTTTTCGCGCGGAACAAGCCTTTGTCAACTCCCATTCCAAGAAAACCACCCTAAATGACTTCAACGCCACCCACCTTGACATTTACTCGACAGCCTTGCCAAAACTTCGAAGTTGATGGCCATAAAATCCTAATCTTCGTGGCAAACACGTCAGTCCTTTTTTATGGCTTTAAAGCCAAGCCTATATACTTTCATGCCAAAGGATAAGGCTTCTAGTTCTGGACAAAATTTCAACATCTATCCTGTTGAATTGTCCAAGTTACATACATACCACATAATTTAGACACAGGCATCACATCAATTGAAATTTCAACATCTATCCTATCTAATTATTTCTTATGTTACCTGATACGCGATAATACTTTTATAAAATAATTAATTAATGTGACAATAAAATTAACATATGAATCCAATGGTTGACAACAACTAGGATTAAACGTTGAAATATAATTAAAAATTTACTCAAATATTTAGATACATAAGTATTTAAAAATTCCTTAGGCCCGGACCTGGGCTCAATCCCAAACCTAGACCCCTAACTTGGACCCCGACCCGACCCTGACCCTAGCCCCTAGCCCCGAGTGGTGGGAGTTGTGGTGACGGTGATAGTGGTAGTAGTGACCAGTAATGGTAATTGAGAATGAGAAACACTACTAAATACCGATGAATGACAAATCATATATTGATGAAATTAGACATTCTACGAAAATAAAAATGAATTTTCATTATTACATACTAAACATTACCAAGTAATAATCGGTTTATTTCTATATTTTATTACAACTTACCAAACACGTTAGAATTCTTATTCATAGTATTGCACGAGATGTCATTGCTTATTCATGAACGATGTGCAATCTATCATTCATTACTATGAAGATATATTAATCCAGAAGAATCGTCACAATCCATGCAAAAAATTGGTCATAAGGAATTTCAATCCAGTCTTCAAATTAAACTTCCCATCATCAGCAGCCACTTTAGTCAGAAACAAAACTACATAAAATAAACCAAATGACGGAAAACCATTGCAAAGCTTCAGAGGACTAGTCCATCCAAATCCAGCNCAAAACTACATAAAATAAACCAAATGACGGAAAACCATTGCAAAGCTTCAGAGGACTAGTCCATCCAAATCCAGCTTGAGGACATAAATTCAACCCAAGATTTGACATTATTCACATAAACTCTATCAGCCAAGCTCTATCTTAATTATGTCATAGATGACTCACGTTGGCGTGTGACACAAATCTCATACGCAAGAACTCAAAAACGACACAACTCACTAAAACAATTATAATAAGTAGACCAACTTAATGTTGCCCACGAAAAATCCGTTTAGCTAGAATTATTAGAAGATATTTTTTATTTTTTTTCTTCATTTTTGGCATGCATTTTTTATAATTAAATAATTTTTATTTGACACGGCACCGCATGAAGTGCCTCATGAAAGTCATAGATGGCAGCAACAATGAATAGCTTTGCATCAATTTAAAGGCTCATAGAAGCCTTCCTGCAAACAAGCCATTAACACTCCTCCTCAAGTCCTGAGTGCTATTATCTTTAATCCTTCATGGAATTTCAAGTTCCCTCCATTTCCACTCTTCTTGCTTTCCTTCTCTTTCTGATTGTAGTATTCAGAATTACTGTGAAGAGAGCCACTGCAAATAACTCAACTCCAAAACTACCCCCAGGGCCATGGCAACTGCCTCTCATAGGAAACATGCACCAGCTTCTTGGATCACTAACTCATCACATCCTGAGAGATTTAGCCAAGAAATATGGACCACTGATGCACCTCAAACTCGGTGAAGTCTCCACTGTCATTGTTTCCTCCCCAGAAATTGCCAAACAGGTTATGAAAACACATGACATCATCTTTTCTAATAGACCTTACCTTCTCGCTTCATGGATCATCTCTTATGAGTCTACAAATATTGTATTTTCCCCCTATGGAGATTACTGGAGACAACTGCGCAAAATTTGCATCATGGAGCTTCTGACTTCAAGGCGTGTCCAGAGTTTTCGATCAATAAGGGAAGAGGAGACCTTGAATCTCATTAGATCAATTTCTTCAAACGGGATAACACCAATCAATCTTAGCAAGAAAATTTTCTCACTGACATATGCTATTACAGCAAGAGCTGCATTTGGCAGAAACAGAAAAGAACAAGAAGCATTCATCTCTCTGATAAATGAAGCTATAAAGCTAGCTGGAGGTTTCAGCCTCTGCGACATGTACCCTTCTCTGAAATTTCTTCAGGTGATAAGCGGAATGAGACCAAGGTTGGAGAATATACACAAAAGAATTGATGAGATACTTGAAAACATTGTCAAAGAACACAAAGAGAAAGAGAAAAGCACAAAAACCGGAGAGGAAGCAGCAGAGGAGGATCTAGTTGACATCCTTCTTAAATTTCAGAAGCATGGAGACCTAGAAATTCCATTAACCGACAGCAACATTAAGGCAGTCATCCTGGTAAGTGAGTAAGGGTGGCAATTTCTGACACGACACGTAAACAGGACTCAAAACCAACACTAAATTGACCCAACACAACACAATTGCCACCCGTTAATTTCGACGATATGTGTTGTTATATGCAGTTTTCCATCCTTGTAGCTTATCTTCTGTTAAATATATTAGCTCAGAAGAAAAGTGGCTCCATGATATGAAACCAGGGAAATGCATGATTATTAATGCAAGGTAGTTCTAATGGTTTCAATAGAGATATATTGGAATCTTATAAGAAATAACCACCCTATACCTCTCCTCAAATGTGACAATTGGAACCAATGCTGGAGTCCAAAGTTTTCAGGCTTCATGTAGTAGCATAGTTAATTTTATATTTTCTTCCTTTCCTATAGCCGTACGTGGTGTGATTCCAGAGATTCACAGGCAAAATCTAAATATTTGGCAGTACCGGTAAACTAATCCAAGCTCATCTAAATCTATTTCAGGACATTTTCAGTGCAGGGAGTGACACTTCATCGACAGCACTGGAGTGGGCAGTTTCAGAAATGCTTAAAAACCCAGAAGTGATGAAAAGGGCACAAGCTGAGGTAAGAAAAGCATTTGCTAAAAATGGAAATGTGGATGAAAGTGGTCTTCATGAGTTAAAATACCTGCAAGCAGTAATAAAAGAGACCTTGAGGCTACACCCATCTGCTCCTCTGCTGGTTCCAAGAGAATGCAGTGAGCAATGTCAAGTTAATGGATATGAAATACCAGCCAAGACCCGAGTTATAGTCAATGCCTGGGCAATTGGCAGAGATCCAAGATACTGGACTGAAGCTGAGAAATTCAACCCCGAGAGATTTCTTGATAGTGCAGTCGATTTCAAGGGGAAAAATTTTGAGTATATCCCATTTGGTGCTGGAAGAAGGATATGTCCAGGCATACTTTATGCCCTGCCTAATATTGAACTCCCACTTGCACAACTGCTGTACAATTTTGATTGGAAACTCCCCAATGGATTGAAACCAGAAGAAATAGACATGACTGAGGCCTCTGGCTTGACAGTAAGAAGAAAACAAGAGCTGTACTTGGTTCCTGTTCCTTATCATCCTTCTCCTGTCAAATAGTAGGATAGAAGATATGCTGAGGTCAATGGCCAATGCTTTTGAAAATGCTGTGCTACATTTTCGGAGGAGTTTCTTTACGTGGAGCAGTTTGCGTGGATTGTGGATAATGTATGTATTGTAAGAAAATCCAGCCTATTAGACATATATCATATCCCAATAAAGAAAGTTATATATTGAAAAAAAATCCACCATACAATTTGCGAGTTATGAATCATTGGTGGCATCTACTGCCATTCTCAGCAATTACTTGGTAACTTCGATTTATAAGTAGAAAAAAGAAGACATGTCATGGTTTATGACAGAAATCCATTTAAAACCTCTTCAGTGGCCTCACAGATTAATTCAGTAATTAGAACCATATGGTCCAAATGGTGTTCAATGAACAATTTTCTCTGTGCTGACAAAAAACTATGACAGTCACCAATGGCCTTGAAAATTGATTCTTTACCAGCTCACAACTGTTATAAAACCACTTCCTCCGGCAAGCAAACAACAATCTAGTTTTTTCTGTCGGCAGCCCTATTCCCTCCCTGTTGAAGCTTCATCCTCTCCTCCCCCCATCCATCAGGACCTTACCATCCCTATCGGCTGATTGGTCAAATTAGTCCAAGTCACATGCGCTCCATCTCAAAAGACGTCAATTTCCAATCGTTCATCATGAATTCAAACTCCATCACACTTGCACAACATAGTAACTATGCGATTGAAAAGAACAAGAGATGGCAAGATTAAAATTCAGCTCGACAATGGCATGCTAGCCAGTCCCACCAGGGGCACATCTGAGCAATTTGTGTTGGGATTTAACAACNAAAGAACAAGAGATGGCAAGATTAAAATTCAGCTCGACAATGGCATGCTAGCCAGTCCCACCAGGGGCACATCTGAGCAATTTGTGTTGGGATTTAACAACAGTTTAAATTCACTAACAAACACACATAAACGAAGAACAAATCAAGAATATAAAGCAATAACAAACAAAAAAGAACAAGACACAGATTTTACGTGGTTTGTCNAAACAATAAAAAACAAGAAAGAACAAGACACAGATTTTACGTGGTTCGACAATTTGTCTACGTCCACAANAACAAACACACATAAACGAAGAACAAATCAAGAATATAAAGCAATAACAAACAAAAAAGAACAAGACACAGATTTTACGTGGTTTGTCAATTTGCCTACGTCCACAAAACTGCAGGGATTTCACTATTGAGAGAGTTGAATACAGAGAGTGGCTGTACAATTCACCATATTAACTCTAATCACCAAAACAACGGGTTTTATATGTCCTACGCATTGGGCTATATAACGGGCCCAAAACAAATTGTGCCCAAACCNTTTTATATGTCCTACGCATTGGGCTATATAACGGGCCCAAAACAAATTGTGCCCAAGCCTTCGCTCTATGGACTAAGTCTCAGAAAATTTTCCATTAAAAAATCACACAACATTACTTCGGGTCGGATCACATATACAAACTAGACTCCACAAAAAACCAACAATTTGGAACCACGACACCCACATAAATCTAATCCTGATCGATCAATTCCTTCAAATATATCACCTATCGCACATTTAAATGAGACTTATTATCTTCTTGGATCATTGTAAAAGTGGGACACAAGTAAGTCCAGTTACAAACTTGCTTTGTAACAATATTAAAGACATATATACAAATGTTAAACCAACAAACCCAATAAAGCTCTTTCTTCAATTTTCGGTGCTACTCTCTTTAATTCTCATGGAACTTCAATTTTCCCCCATCTGCACTCTTCTTCCTTTCCTCCTCTTCCNCTTTGTAACAATATTAAAGACATATATACAAATGTTAAACCAACAAACCCAATAAAACTCTTTCTTCAATCTTCGGTGCTACTCTCTTTAATTCTCATGGAACTTCAATTTTCCCCCATCTGCACTCTTCTTCCTTTCCTCCTCTTCCTGTCTGTGTTATTCAGAACTAGTGTGAAGAGATACACTGCAAATAACTCAACTCCAAAACTACCTCCAGGGCCATGGCAACTGTCTCTCATAGGAAACAGGCACCAACTTCTTTGATCATCAACTCATCAGATCCTGAGAGATTTAGCCAAGATATTTGGGCCTATGATGCACCTAAAACTCAGTGAAGTCTCCACTGTCATTGTTTCTTCCCAGAAATTGCATANCTTTGATCATCAACTCATCAGATCCTGAGAGATTTAGCCAAGATATTTGGGCCTATGATGCACCTAAAACTCAGTGAAGTCTTCATTGTCATTGTTTCTTCCCAGAAATTGCAGAACAGGTTATGAAAATACATGATGCTATCTTTGCTTGCAGACCCACCCTTGTTGCTGCACGAATTCTTACTTTCGATTCTATGAGCGTTGGCTTTTCCCCGTATGATGATTACTAGAGACAATTGCAAAAAATTTGCACAATGGAGCTGTTGAATCCAAAACACGTCCAAGGATTTTGATCAATNCTTGCAGACCCACCCTTGTTGCTGCACGAATTCTTACTTTCGATTCTATGAGCGTTGGCTTTTCCCCGTATGGTGATTACTAGAGACAATTGCAAAAAATTTGCACAATGGAGTTGTTGAATCCAAAACACGTCCAAGGATTTTG